TTTTTTGGTGGGAAAGACTTTCTAAAAATGATGTAACCTTATTATAATTATATATATGTATATAAATTACCTTTCTACAAGCTCCAAATTTATACCATTTGTCAAATTCATATATACTTATTACTACCACTAATCATATTCATTATCATTTAAAATAAAATATACAAGATTGAACTTCATTATTATATCATTTCTTGAAATCGTGTTTGATATACGTAGTATGCTATCTTATAACTTATTTCGCTAGTTTATATGCTTATTTTATATTTAAATAAAAATGATTTGATATGTAATAAGACTATTAAAATATTTATTTTAAGTAACTTATCAACTAAATTTACCATACATTTTCATATTTGTAGTCACCAACCTATCAGGTACTTTTTCAGCTGTCATTCCTAAAACTATTAGCTATAAAATTAAAATTAAATTATAGTTATCAACTAAGTTATGAGTTAATTTACCAAACATATCCTACACAACTATTTGTAATCTATTTATTATAGAGAAAATTACCTTGTACACTACACCACACTTTTTTTATTATAATTGTACGGTCCATATATTTTTATTTGCAAAATCACTGATTCATATAATTTATTTACACAGATACCTTAATGTTAGTTTAAACATAATTAGCTTTAAATATGGAAAAACGTGGTATGAAAATAACTGATTCCAATTAATAAGGAATGAAGTGGTTTGACCAAAATCATCTCCATAATTAATCTCTCCCCTTTCCCAACTGCCCGCAACTTTCAATTATCTTCAATTTTTCAAAACACCCTATGAAGGAAAAATTTGTGGAAAACAAAATTTCGCCCGTGGTTGGTAAAAGTAGACCGAACAATACCAGTGAAACTTCACACAAGAGGTAGAGTTCACGTTTTCGAAAAATTCAAGCTTAGAACAACTGAAATCTCATATAGAAAAAACTACACTTTGAGAATATGATGAAGCCGAGTGGGTCTGGGAAGACTCTCGATTTTTTTTTTTTTTTTTGAGAAACGGCCAAATTAATCCTTATTTTTTCTGGGTATATGTTAGTATGTTTAATGTTCCATGGTTACGTTTAGTATATGATTGAAACTCGGACTTGTCAGAGATGTCAAGGCCATGATTGAATCCGTTTTGGTGAAAAGTTTCTCAGTGGATAATTATCGAACAGTTAGTGTGCTTGATTCGTTGATAGATAGTTTCCATTCTTTATATGTTGCGGTATATATAGTATATTTTCAGTATATGTTTCCGTTCGAGAAACGAAAATCATTGATTTCGAAACTTAAATTCTGAAGGAGAAGACGAAAAAAAAAAATTAAAAATATACTGTTAATAAACTAGAAATATATTATTATTAAAAACGCAAAAGATATATTGTTAATAAAACGTGAAAGATATCTTTTTAAGTTGAAATATACTGTTAATAAACTAAAATAACTTGACACGTATTATTTTTTTTCTTTATAAAATTTCACGTTCTCATTTTTTTCGAATACTTTTGCGTATATTTCCAATATATTTCCGGTAAAATTTAATGTCCTCAGCAAAAATCCGGTCGATCCCCCTCGTTTTTTATTATGAACTCTATGATTGAATTGATTGCTTGTGTTGATAATTCAATTATGATCGGCTAAATTCATATGCTAGGGAATAGGGGATTGATGTTTTGATTTCGATTGCGATTGTGGTGTTCGTTGATTGTTCTTTTCATACGAGTTGATCTTTTTAAAGGGGTTTTCAACTGTCAGGCTTGAGTATTGATAATTGTTGAAGGGTGACACTTCAACTTACAATTGTTTCAATTGAATTTGATATTTTCGTGCTTGAAATTGATGAATCTATTTGATTAGTCGGTTAACCACTCTGTAGTCCATTTTAATCGACTCTTAGAACCGGAAGGGGAGGAGTTGGTCGAAATAGGCTCGTCGAACTAGGCTTGTTCGTAACTGTATTGCCTAGGAGTTAAGTGAATTGTTAATTTCCCGTTCTAGTTTGTTCTCTTGTTACGAAAAGTTATTGAGAATGAGTGCTTGAACGTGTCAATTATTTAAATCATTTAACTGAACAATCTCTTGCCCATTAATTGCAATTCGAACCAAAACGGACATCCCTGACTCCCTAGCTTCGCAAATCCTGCTTGTTCTTCGTTGCTTGCTATTTTATTGCTTTATATAAATCTTCGTAGTAGTTGATAATTAAAATCACAACCATCTCTGGATTAGTATGTTTAGGAGTTCTATTTCTCTTCGTATGATTGAATAAACACAATTCCGGCTAACCTTTCTCGTGAGACACGACCCGGTGTTCGAATCTTTTGATTCTACTCCGGAAAAATATTTACAATAATGATGAAGCCGGGTGGTTATGGGAAGACTCTCGATAATTTTATTTTTTTTTTCTTGTGAAACGGCCAAATTAATCCTTATTTTTTTAGGTATATGTTAGTATGTTTAATGTTCCATGGTTACGTTTAGTATATGATTGAAACTCGGACTTGTCAGAGATGTCAAGGCCATGATTGAATCCGTTTTGGTGAAAAACTTCTCAGTGGATAATTGTCGAACACTTGGTGTGCTTGATTCGTTGATAGATAGTTTTCATTCTTTATATGTTGCAGGTGTATATAGTATATTTTTAGTATATGTTTCCATTCGAGAAACGAAAATCATTGATTTCGAAACTTATATTTTGAAGGAGAAGACGAAAAAAAAATAAACTAAAAATATACTTTTAATAAACTAGAAATATATTGTTATTAAAAACGCAAAAGATATCTTGTTAATAAAACGTGAAAGATATCTTTTTAAGTTCGAAATATACTGTTAATAAACTAAAATAACTTGACCCGTCTCATTTTTTTTTTCTTTATAAAATTTCACGTCCTCATTTTTTTCGATATACTTTTGCGTATATTTCCATTATATTTCCGGTAAAATTTAACGTCCTCAGCAAAAATCCGGTCGATCCCCCTCGTTTTTGTTTTCAGCAAATTTACGCACAAAATTTTGCTAAAATATTCACGTCCTCAATCGTTTTTTTGCAGTATATTTTTGGGTTAATCGTTCTGTAGTGTGAAGAAGACTATAGTACAAATTCAAATTTCACTTATTTTTTTTATTTTTTTTCGACGTGGATCGATCTGGATAAAAAAATCTAATCGTTTTTTTCAGTATATTTTCCGTGTATCGCACTGCTTAGTGATGGTGAGAAAGCTTCAAACTCGGATTTCCTATATTTTCATACGAAACGCAAAAATTGTTATACTCATTATTTAAACTAGTGCTAGTTCCCATCAAACTAGTGCTAGTTCATGAAAGTTCCGAAGATTTTAATGAAGTCTTTCCTTTTTTTTTTTTTTTTTTTGAAACCTACTGGAAAACATGCGAGATAAAGTTGGATAGAGTTTGACTTCTATGTAACTGAATTTTAGGCATTTATTTAGTTAGTTTTTGATAATTAGGTAGAGTCAAAATATATTGTGTGTAGATGGTATATTTGTAATATTTTGTAACTCAAGCACGATGGATGAAAATTTCCATTTATTATATGGAAACAATAACAAGTACAATAACAAAGCCCGTGAAGTTTTATGTTCATCACGCTACTCTTGCCACAGTCCAAACAAAGCAACACAATCCATTTAGTCAAGCTCATTTAACTTGGCAAAAATGAACTAAAAGTAAAGAGAATTGAGAGATGGAGAGAGAGAGAGAGAGAGAGAGTAACAGAGTGCAAGGGTACATAGCATTATAACAATTAGAGAGCAAGACAACATAAATAAAGGAAAAATATAGTGCCATAGTACAGAGAACAAACAATTGCAAGTTTGCACTAATCTACACACATCACAACCCTAAAAAGAAAGTGTAAAGATAATCTTTATAGAGAAATAATCTTTCTATGCAGATGCTCACCAGATGAACTCACATCCCCATCATGATCGTGAAAAATAAGGGTCAGAACTCCAACTAAACATAGTACTGATCCCACAAGAAGCTTGTCATAACGTTCGACCCAATGGAACTTGAGCTGGCTCGCCCCGTAGAACGACAGGGCCACCAAGGACGTCATTACAGTGATTGTGCTGCGATTTTCGAAATATCACATCACATTAGTTAATACTTGGAAGATTTTATTCCTATCAAGTTTGGCAAACTAAAAGATTAGGAAGTGTGAATTTTAAAGGCAAGCGCGAAAACATAAATTCTTTTCCGCTAATTCAAATGCCGAAGCTTTCGCTGACTTTCGGACACAAATTTTAACTTTCTGGAAATTAAAAAGCCGTGTCACATGAACACCATATTTTGGGCAACTAAAAGCGGGCAGTAGGATTTTGAACTATTTTTGTAAGGAAGTGGAAGCGCGAGATAAAAAATGTCAATTTATTCATATAGCATTACGAATCAAATATCAGGTTCCATAAACCAATCTCTGACTATCGATTTAACAAAGAGTTCATTTCGAAAACTACAAATAAGGTGCTAGCCTGATCATAAAAAGAAGCACCAGTTCCCAAAAGTACAAATTCTTCACATTTGTTTCTCATAATCGAATTGAAAACTCAAAACAAAGGATGTTGTTTTATGTAACTACAAGCATTAAAGAAAGATTGTCAGCATTTGAACAGTTGGCTGTGTTATTTTGAAAGATACATAAATATTTCATGTAGTTCAGCTAAATCTAAAGTTATTACGCCTTTAAATAATGCTAGCTTCTGACAAGAATCATATGCCTACAACAAAGTCCAATATTGTCCAGCCATGAAAACAAACAACAAAAAAAAAAAAAATATTGGGTTTTACCTGAATAATAATACTATAATGGCAAGAACCATCATAGATGACGAGTTTCCAACAGCGAGAAATACTGGGAGAGTGGTTGCACAAGGAGACAAGGCCGGGACAAGAACAAGACCGGCAACGGCCATTTTCTCCATGGGTTGATTGTGAGAATGGCAGTGGCCACCCTTACCTTTCAGATATAAAATCACGTAACTTCCACCAAGAACAATGAGCAACAAAGATGCAAGTTTGTGAACAGTTTCCTCCCCTGCTATAGTGTTTGTTATGGTGATTGCTGTTATGCCAAGCAGTGAAGTGGAGAGCACATGCAAAACCGCCCCAAATGCAGCTGCATGCAGACAACCCATCAGCATTCATAAAAACTTAATCAAATTTTCAAGAAAATTATTTGTATTATAGTCGACAAATGATTTGGGGTTATTAGATATAATAGAGCGGTTCAAATACCCAAGAAGTGAGAAGTTTTTAATAATTCATAGCCCAGAAGAAATTGCGTGCAGCATAAGAAACAAAAGCATTAGCAAGACAGATTTCATATTTAAAGATACAACATCTTAACAGAGTTAATGGTCAATCGATTTTTTATTTAAGTTGCCGAATCCTGATAAAGTTAGCTGGCATTTGTGTCAACCAAGCAATCTGGTTGAGCCAAACAGTTGAATCGATTAAATTCCAGGAGGGTCGAGTCAATGGTGCCTGCAATTTGTAGCATACTTGTTTGATAAGGGAATCACGGGTATAACACATGCTAGACAGAAATAGCTATTTGCGCTCATTTGTATATCAGGTTCAATCACTAAAATTGTTGGAAAATCGAATGACAATCAGAAATGGGCTTCGTCTTTCATAATTGCTTAACGATTAATGAAAACATTATGAGGCATGGACTGCAGTTAATTTTGTTAATCAGCCAAAACATCACATAAACAAAAAGGAATTGTGCAAAATCTGTACTCATGATCTCATTGCAAGGAACAAGTTCATTGAAATCCGATGTACCAGAAATCATTATATCACTTTCGTCAATAATACTTGGCTTCATTAGATCAGATTTGACGCGGGTTCTACGTGCACTTTCCAAATATATAATTGTCAAAAAAATGCATAATCAAAACTCCGAAGGACAATAAACCATCAATAGATTGCATCTTTCTCGTACCGCTCACTAATTTCCAACACAATCTTATTTTTCTTCTCTTGATATCATTTGTCCGGGTAGGAATTGTAAGTGTATCACCAATTACACAGCTCATTTCCAACACAGTCTATGTTGTTTAAAATTCAGTAATCACACAAATGTTAGCACCAACCCCATTTAAGCGGGACCGATTCACTCTGCGTAGATTGACTTAACGCAGAAAGCCTTCCACTGGCAGGCGATCGTGTTTCACAATAAAAATGACCAATATTTTCTGGAATTCACACAGAACCGAACATTGCGCATCCTGGATCTCACACAATAATCAAACCCCATACCACCAGATCACTCTTTACCCAAAACAAAAGCTCAAATAGGGAAAACCCATGTACACAAACACAAGGAAAAACTTACTAACGAGGAGAGTACGAGAGAGCGTCCATTTCTGAGCTCGGCCCACAATGGAGAACGGCAGCCAGTGCGTCGGAATGAACGAGTGGAGCAAGGACACGGTGGCAATGCCGCCGATCGTTGACAGATCTTCCGCGTTAATACTGAAATTTCCAGTCTCCATTAATCTTTGTCTGCCTCGCCTATTTCCTGGTTTTTTTTTTCTTCTTCAATTAATTTTCTTTTCTCTCTTTTTTGCGGATTACGGAAATTCAATCAGATTTGCGGGACTCCTATCAAATTATGATGCTATAACAGGAGATTCTGTCAGAGAACAACAGAATTTCTAGTTGATACTTGGTAGAGTGAGCGATAAGATTTTGCGTGGGCTTTGAAAGAAAGTGTTTCCAGATTTTTTTATTTTTTATTTTTGTGTGAGATGTTGAAGATGAAGGGGAGCTATTTCTGATTGAATATATTTAGTTGAATAAACAAGGGTAGTAATATATTTTTATTTTTTTTTCGAAACAACAAAATTTATATATATCCAATTCAACAATGTATACAAGGCGATAGCCAATACAATCCGAGAACAAATTTGAGAAAAATGAAAATAAAGAAGTACTAGCTTCTTGAATAAAGAAAAGATAGGTAGAGCTCATGTCAATGGCAAGGCATATCATCCATGATCCTAACCATATCTCCCTGCAACCTAACTGCAAAATGTTAGAGTCGCTGACCAAAAATAGTAAAACCATTGCCCCCGAAAGGGGCCTAGCAAGCTATCAAAAGAATACCCACTAAACTAGTAGAACAGAAAAAAAAAACACAGAAAAAACTACAACAATTAAGAACCGGAAAAGAAGAAACAAAGAGCAAAAGACAACCGACCCTCAAAGAGACTGAGCCCCTAAGTTTGCATATTCCCTCCAATCTGCTAGAGCTAGCTTAACTGTGTTTGCCTCTGATCTGTGAATTTGCTGAAAAATCCAAAGGTTTCTCGTTTTCCACATCCACCACAAAAGATAGCAAGTGAGTTGAACTATATCCTCAGTGATTGTGGTTTTGTTGATGCTGCAGATATGAATCCACCAGTGTTTAAAGGAGTCTGCATGATGTTGCAGTACTTCCAAAGGAAGTGTAGCAAGTTTCCAAATCAGCTTAGATCTGCTATAATGAAAGAATATGTGCTCCTGGTTTTCTTCATCCTCCCAACAGAATTTGCATCTTTGGTCTAACTTAACTCCCCTGTGATGCAGGTTAACGAGAGTAGGCAAAATGTTGTTGATTCCTTTCCAAAGAAAGTTTCTCAGCTTCCTCTTGATCTTCAAACTCCATGTTCTTTTCCTGGCCTTCTGCATATGTTTTTGGTTTCTGCTAGGCTCTGTAAAGTCCATTTTATTCCAGCTTTCCTCCATCAACTTCTTGTAGGCAGAAGCCACTGTGAATTTGCCATTGTGCTTCCAGTTCCATGAAGGCTTGTCAGGTCTGGTAGGATCAAGCCCTGTGATTTTTAAAATGGTTGTGGCTTCTTCAGGTAAGAAAGCCTACTCTACCAGATCTTTGTTCCATCTTCTGCCTGAATCATCTAGCAACTCTTTCACCCATATCAATGATTGAGAACTAGGTGTTGAGCCTGCCAACTTCTTGCCCTTAAGCTCCGGGACCCAAGGTTGTTCCCAGATTTTTATGGAGCTACCATTTACTATGTTCCAAGACATGCCTCTGAAGAAATCTTCTTTTACTTTCTACCAACTAGTCCAGAGCCAGGAGCAATTGTGCTTTTTTGTGGCTGTGAAAAGACTTCCATTTGGGTAGTATCTGCCTTTCAAAATTTTACTCACAAGTAATTCTGGATTAGATTGGATTCTCCAGAGCTGTTTGAGAACAATTGCCTTGTTGAAGATGTGTAAATCATGGAAGCCTATCCCTCCCTAGTGGGTTGGAACTGTTGTTTTCTTCCATGGCTTCCAGTGAATGCTTTTTGTTTCATCCTTACCAGTTTCCCACCAAAAATTGGCCATGAGCGATGAAATCTTCTTGGTCACAGATAATGGCAGTAAGAAACAAGACATGGAGTAGGTTGGCAGAGCTCCAATGACCGCTTTCAGCAAAACCTCTTTACCTGTAGGGGAAAGATATTTGTTTTTCCAGTTGGATATTCTTTTACTCACAGCATCCTCAATATAAGAAAAAGTGTTATTCTTGGATATACCAATGCCCAGGGGTAATCCTAAATATTTAGAGGAGGACTGAGGAGTAATTCCCATTAGAATGTTGCAAATTTGGTCTCTGAGGTTTTGGTGAGTGTTTTTGCTAAAGAATATTGAAGACTTTTGGAGGTTGATTTTTTGTCCTGTCAGGGAGGAGTAAGTTTGAAGTGTGTTGTCTGTCCTATTTTTGTTACGTTTTTTTAGTTATTATTTTATTATTCTTTTACCCTCATTTTGAGTCATTTTATAAGTTTTATGGTAGTTTTATCATTTATTGTGTGATTTGTAATAGTCAAATAATGTTTATGTTTCTGTATATTTTTTCCGGTATTTTTGGCTTTATTTTCAATAAAGATGCATAGGTCGAAAACCTCGGAAGAATAGAATTTTGGAAATTTCTTGGTTATGATCATGTCATTGGAAAGAGGGGTTCGTTAGCAACGCACAGGAAAAAATGAAACTTAATTTCGAGTCCAAACGAGCCCAAATGAGCGAAAACCGTAACAACATGTAAAGTTGCCGACACAGTAGCGGCGCTACTAGGCGGATTTCTGCAGCTGTCTTTTCTTTCATAATGCATGATGATGGAGTGTTTTTGGTGATAATTAAGCCTTACCTATAGCTGATTTCTAGTTATATTTTACTCCAATCTCTCAGCTATAAATAGAGGTGATCCATGCATGTAAAGATCATCAAGTTCATAATTCAATAAGAGTGAAAAAATCTTGTAAAAATCCTTTTTTCTTCTTCTTAAGTTTTTGGGAAGTTCTTTATTTATGAGAATTTCTTCTTATGCATGATCTTGTAAGTGATATTTCTATATCTTGTTGAAGTTCTAGTAATATATTGACATCAAGTTTTCAATAGTAATCGTAAGTTATCGTTACTTTATTGTAAGTACGATGATAGCTTAGGTTATTATTGTTATTTGTGTCGATAAAATCATGACGAACTAAACCTATTCCATTAGGGATAGGGAAATGATTTTTTTGGTTCGATGATGATGTTATGTTATTTATTGTTCATATCGTTTCGAGTTATACTTATTTTTACGATTTGGTTGATTAAGCACCTTCTAAATTTAATTAATTAATTTTAAAACCGAGAGGGGAGAAGTTAATTGATCTCTGCTCGAAACGAGACTTGTTCGTAACTATATTGCTTATTTGTTATTTGATACGAAAATATATTAATTTATGTTTATATTCTTGTTACGAAAAGTTATTGAACATAAACCTCTTAATTAGTGTGTTTATCGAATCACTTAACTGAGCAATAAATAATTTGGACTTATCATTAGAATTGAAAACAATTATTTCTCAATTTCCTAACACTTTTATCATGTTTATATTATTATTGACTTTTAGATTTTTATAATTATTGAATTTATTTATTACTTTAATTATAATTTTATGTTTATTAGTTAAATTAATGAAATTAGTAGATAGTAAAATTCTACACTAAAATTGATTAGAATGTTTAGGACATCATTTTATAATTTTTCATAATCGAATAAACGCACAATTTAATCCGGCTAAACTTCCCTTGAGATACGACCCGGGGAACGAATCTTTGATTCGGTGTTCGGAAAATAAAAAATAAAATTTGCTACAACAAATTTGACGTCGTTGCCGGGGAAAGTTTTAGGACTTGACTTATACGCCTATTCGATTAGTTATTTTTTTTTTTTCATCTCGATTTTTTTTGTGATTTCTTGTTTTTGTGTTTCGCTTAAATTCTCTTGTTTTTCTTTGTGAATTCCTATCTTGTTAATTCTCTCGATTATTTCTATTCTTCTATTAATTGGTAATTTTCAAGATTACTTAACAATTATTTACTCTTGTTTATCTAGTGCTCGTGACGGTTTGTTTGTCTTCGTGTATGCGTACTAGGAATGGACGAGTACTCATTCCGAGCGACAAATCCATTAACGAAGATTTACGAGAGTTGTTTGCCAACCTTTCTCTTGACTCGATAAGCTCTAACAATTAAGGTGAAATGGCCCAAAATAACGAATAGGAAGTAAACAATCCCCCGCGGTATCTTCTTCGAGACATGGCCCAACCGATGATTGGGCCGGTGACTTCTTGCATCCATTTGGGACCTGCGACTCGGAATTACGAGCTAAAGACAATCCACTACAACCAGCTCCCATCCTTCTATGGCTTGCCGAACGAAGATCCTCTCCATTTCATCCGGGAGTTCTATAATATTCTCCAAACTCTTCCTCTTCAACGGTTAAATGAGGACCAACTAAAGATGAGGTGTTTCTCGCACACATTAAAGGATCGGGCAAAGGCTTGGTTTATGAATCTTTCTCCCGACTCACTCACTACTTGGGAGCAAGTGTATTACAAGTTCATTGGAAAATACTATTCCCACCAGAAGACCAAGGAGCTGAGAGGCCAAATCGTCTCATTTGCCTAACATCCCAATGAGCCATTCCCTGAGGCGTGGGAGCGATTCAAAGACCTTCATGTTGGGATCAATGAAGATCTCTTTATGCACAAATCACGAATTCAATAGCAAAACGTAAACCTATGCGCAGCGGATCTAAAGGTTTGCGTAGAGAACTTACGACTTAAAATTTATGGCGATCTGGCTGATCTTCTAGATGGTCGTACACAGCACACCAATGAATTTGTTGACTGCAAATCGCGTCCTAGGATTGCACAAACAAGATCGGATCAAAAACCGGATCAAATGAGTGCAAAACGGATGAAGACAAGTTACAGTCCTGGGACCTTGTGGCGGTGCGTGCGGGTGCGTGGGTGGTCGGACGGCTGGGATCTCGACGACGTTGGAAAGCTCTCGTCGAGACAGTTGTCTGGGTATGGTGCACGTCTTGATCGGACATTCGGTTAGTTCTGTGCGACAAAATATATTTTGTCTCACTTTACCCAAAGATCTTCTACTGTATATCTCAAACACCTCTTAATCTTGTACCAGTGGAACAACAAGAAGAAAATAA